GCCTTTTCATGATAATATTCAGCTTTTTTTGGTGCATCACTTGAAGAATTATTAAATGTATCATTATTGGTTATGATATTATTAGATGTAGCTAAAATAGTTGTATTGGTTTCTTTCAACATCTGTTTTGCAGTTTTAAAAGCTGGAAGTGAAGTATTAAATTTTCTATTACTCATTGAAAGAGAGTTTAATTTATTGTGAAGAGGCTATGAAGATAACAGTAAAAAATTATGAGCGTTAGGATCTGTGAGAATAAATCAGTTATTCCATGTATTTGTCATTGACATCATTAAAACATCATGGGCAGCTGAGATATTATGCATGATGTTTTAATGATATCTATGATAAAACGTGGAATAACTATAACTAATCAATTTTATGATACTCCAATAGCGAAGTGGTGGGAAAATTAATAATCCCAGGTCGATCATTGTTACAACCAGGAAACTCTATCCTATTTACAAGAATAACGGTCTATATATATACAGTATATATATTGAATCAAATTGACAATCCTGCAAGACGCAAAGTATAAACTAACTCTATCAAATGTCATAATGATCGACAAAGTATACTATCGTAATTACTTAGATCATTAGCTAACTATAAACTAAACTATTATAATGTTACACAAGCAAAAAGTAGAATCGTTTATCTTTGTTACGCTATTTTGTGTAACATCATGCCACAAATATTTTCTAAAAAAGTATCGGTTGCTTGAGCTGTCGACACATCAAATAATTGCTATTACTTGCTCTCTCACTATAAAAATTACCATTCTTTCTAGAGAATTTGATTCACTAATAACTACGATCTAAAATTAATACAGCAAAAAAATTCATAAATAGAGATGGGGATCGATTCTAAAAATTACAATCGATGGTCGATTTTCTGAGCTGATTAAATAATAATCAACAAGTTATTGAACATTTCCAGATTACCGAACCTTTTTAGAATTTATTATAATAGGTTGACTTATTTTGAATATAATATACTATAATTATCATTATATAAGTACTTTACCGTATGCAGTATGTACGTTAGATCATACTATGAAACCTTTTTTTAGCTTTTTAGTTAGTTTCTTATCTAGATGTACGAAATATTTTGTGCTTCTTTTAGTTTTTACTTGATTTTTTACGAGACATATGAATTAATCTAAATAAGAATATTTCATTATCAATAATTGGTATTTCGCTGCTCATCATATCTAATCATTAGTTTATCATTGTATTCTTAAATCTTTCATTAGACTCAATTTATTCATATCAATTTATCGATCTATATACTTTCCAAATTGCATTAAATCTTTATA